CCCAAAACCTCGATCAAGCAGATGGAAGGAAAGAGCCAACCAAAACTCCAAACATCGTCATTGTACCCCCACCATCTACCTACTTGCACCACCACCCTCATACCCAGAAGCTCCGACTCAGTAGGTTGGAGGAAGAACCAACCCCCAAAAAAAAAATGCTTATCGCTACAGCACCCCACCTCCACCACTGCCATTTGCATCATCGCACCACACCACAAAGATTGCCACCGTATAGATCCGCACACACAAATCACTGCCGCACACACCACTGCAGACCAAGCACCAGAGATCGACGCACCACCATAACACAGATCAATGCACCACTCACCATTGCACCACAAATCGTCACGGGGGCATCGCGATGCCGCTCAGGGAGTCCTCTGGTGGCACCTTCTTGTCTTCCAATGGGATTGGGGAGAAATTATTGGTAGAGAGGGAGAGAGAGTCGAGGGAATTGAGAGAGAGAGAGAGAGAGAGAGATGGAATTGATATTTATATAATTAGGGTTTGAAATTGTTTAATTAATTTTTAAATATGTAAATTAATTAAAAAATTTTCTGATTTGTGAAATACTAAACATGGCATCTTATTTATGAAATGGGGATTTTTAATCTATAAGAATATGTAATTTCCACTTTCAAAATACGTTTCACTCTTAGAGCATATTGGCTTGTGGTTAAATTAAAATTGCTTTTAGTTCAGTTTGTCAAACATGATTTTTAAATCTTTTTTACTAATAAACTTACTTTTTCTGAAATTAAGCCTTTTTTTTAGCTCCATTTCAATGAAAATTTGGGGAAAAATTAGTTTTGGAATAGTAATTTTTTTGAAGAATATGTGGTTTAAAAAATAAAGAAAAATTTTCAGTTTACGTATAATATTATTTTATGGAAAAATGTGTGATTAAAAATGAGTTTTGAAAAAAATGAGTTTTCGAAAAAAATGGTGGCCAAACATAAGCAGATTCAACTTGCATTACAGAAGGAAAAAAATTAAAAAGTATATTTAGCTAAGCACAAATAAAAAAAAATAAAGTTACTTATTTTATTCTCAAACCTATTTGGATAATTTACCTTTTATGCATTATTTTATCGCAAAAAAGTCACTTACTTGAAATTAACTCTTTTTAACTTAATTTAACAGTAACTCTTGCCTTAAAATTAAAAATAAATTACTAATCTTAAAATTTCACCATTTAAAAAATATCCATCATTGCTTATCAATAAACTTATTTAGGCAAACATATACTATAAAAATTAGATATACTTTTCGGAAAAGTAAATACTTGCTCTAAAGAAGTGATTGCTTGAAATAAAAGTTCCTTTTATATTTTTGGCAAACACGTTTTACCCAAAAAAAAATAATAATAATAATAAATAAATAAAATGAAAAAGTTACCCAAAAGTAACTTTTTTAAGGGACGGCAACGAAGCGAGTATGGGACGGGTCGGCCATTCTGACCCCTATCCTGTCGAGTATTTTTGTTATCTTACTCCATACCCATACCCGATTAAAGCGGGGCGGGGCACGTCCCTGCCCCATTTATTGTCCCATTTATTTTTTTCTTTTTCTTTTTATTTTTTGCTTTATTTTCTTATGTTCTTAATAAATATTACTTTTTTACCAATTTGTTAAAAACAACTTATGTTCTCTTTAAAAATAATAATAAATATATTATTTTTGTTTAATAAAAACTTAAATTTGAAATCAATTTGCAACGGAGCGGGTAGTGGGACGAGGACTATGTTTTTTGTACCTACTCCATACCCGTTTCAGGGCAATGACCCTTGCCCGGTACCCATCTTCCGTGGGTATCGGGTTGAATGGATTCTTTTGCCATTCCTAAACTTTTTAACTTAGATGAATATTTGCACTTTGCACCCACAGTGTATTCATGTTATTGCAAGAAGCGTCATTTCCTCCCCGCTGTTCTCATGGACTAAAAATTACTTTTAAATGCTTTTAGTTTTATATTAAACATGCTCTCTAATCTATTTTGATAAAATGTGAGCCTCCTAATCCACAATTTAAGTATCGTCTGCATTTCACAGCGATTTAAATTAATTGAAGTTTGTTTTATCTTCTAAAAACATTATTTCCTATTACACAAATTAAAAGTTCAAATGTGCCTACTCTACTCTTTTACTCCTTTTAGTTTGCTATTTTCCATACTCAACAAATTTGAATGATGACCCATTCGGTGTGTTTAAAATTTTTGTTCTCTTTATTCTTGTATCTACGTTGATTTTTAAACTGAACATGTCATCCATGACGTCATTCAATAGAAATTCTCAAAAAGTACGAGAGCCCACAGATTCAAGAAATGAACAATATAATATTATCTTGGTGAAATGTGCTTGGATTTGACCTCATGTAGGTCGAGCTATATATAGTTTAACCTACTTTAAAGTTAATGTTTCCAACCTTTTATATTAAGAAAATAAGAAATAGAAAGAAGTTCATTAGCATTTTCGCTTATGATTCCCACTGTCCCCACTGTCCATAAGTTGCAACTCAATTCAAGGAGGATATTGGAAAAGTGGTCCCAAAGATTTTAGATAAACCCTAACTTTGGCAAAAGAACTTATGAGAAGCTCTCATTTTAGCAGTCCTTTTTTTGTAAACTGATAACTGACTAATTATATAGTATTAGCATGCCTTGTACGTACTAAAATCATGTTTTGCCAGGTTCAAGTGTGTGGAAAATCCTAACCCTCATTTTTGGGAAAATGATAATCTAATTTGACTAATTATCTGACCAAAAAATTGCCTGCTGCTATATAATAATGTGTGTGAGATAGAGATAGAGATCGAAACCAAACTGCATGCAGTGCTAGAAACTACATATCGAATGTGCTTGAGACACAAATAGTGAAAAGAAAGAAGGAAATAAAATACACAATCAGCCTATTATTGAAATAATCAAAGCTTCTTTAATCATTGGATGTATATTATATGTAAAACCGAATTCGAGTTGAACTATGTTCCGGGGAAAGAACGAATCAAATGAGATAGAAACGGAGGAGGACAAGAAAATACTTGAACATCTGGGGAGAAGACAGACAATAATGACTAGTAGAGGGATTGGGGAACCAACTTTCTTGAAGATGAAAGGACTAACCTGAAGGTAATCTTAAGCAAGGACGGAAAGGAAGAGTGGCTGATCACACAGCACAGGCTAGTGAGATAAGATGTACATAGATGATGATGCTAAATACCAACGAATTAGGGGTTCCATCTCAAAAGATTAACCATAGACCCAATCCTACAATAAGCTAGCTCGGCATCATGTATCAATGTCTCACCATGTGGGACTTAGTTCGCACTTTTCTAACACGAATAGGACAAAACCAGGCCAGCATATCAGAGCCCCGTGCCATTATGAGCAAATTATGGAGAGAAATCTGTTAGGTTTTGTGACTCAAATGTGTTAGGATTATTATTTATTTAGAATTTGATCAAGTGGTATCCTAGAAATTGGTTAGGAATCTTTTGAAGATACGTATTCGACTTTTACTTGGAAGGGAAATCTAATTACATTCAACAAAAGGAACAAATTTTGTTGCCTTATAGGACTTCTTTAGGGTTGTCCTATAAATACAAGACTCTTCTATCAGTTTTACTAGATGTAACAAATAGAAACCAATTGCTAGATTATTTTGTATTCTCCATATTTTTTATTTAATAAACATCGTTCGTCTGCGTTAATCCTTTTGTTCCTCTTTACAATTTAAACCTTGTTTCGTGATATGATCTTGTTTACTTCAATATTATCATTATAATCTCGTTCTTTAAAATCCGGTTTGGAATCAACGTGTGTTATTAAAGCTTCCGCGCCTCCAACAAGATCTTGGAATACAAAGACACAAAAATGAACCAATAGTGCCTGCCACCATAGCTCAGCACCAGAAAGATAACCATCAACAAAAACAAAACAAAAATGAATACAAATGTAAGGGTACTCCAGTCTCCGGCAAAAGAATACACACAAACATAAATTTATAAATAAAGAAGGTAAATAATAAAACCCCTGTTTGCAAGATTCCATATGTATACAAGACTCAATAATTCAATAAGGCTCCAATTACAGATGAATAAAAATAATGTTTAAATATTGATAAGGCTGGAAAAAAGGATGCCAAAATCCTATCTTCCAGCACTGCAATTAAACTATGTTTACAACTAATGAACTATTTTTAAGGACGGAGACTTAACACAAAGAAAAACATATTAGAATGTACAAATTCAATATAATTGAGACATAGATCATGAATAGCATAAGAGAACTTGTAAATTTTTGCATATGAGATTTACAGAGAGAATAATACTCTATTTATACTTTTATAGGGTTACAAATAGCTATTTAAGGGAAAGAATAATCACGGAAAAATCTTTATCATTTGTTCAGATGCTATAGCTGAAGATGCATATTCTTTCCCTCTACTTTTTTTACAACGAATTAATCATATTTTACATTTTTTTTTTTTGTTTCTAAGAATTATCAAATAAGCCCAGAATTGAGAATTAGTAAGACCCAAGATGTGAAGCTTAAAGTCAGAGATTAAAATTGCAAGATGAAGAGTGATAGTTCCAATTCCAGTTTGACTTAAATGTTGAACATGAAGCTGAGAAAGATTGGTTGAAAACATTAGGTAAACAATTGGATGATGAAGATCTCTATATATTAGCCTTATTTCCTTCTGATGGATACTCATTTTTGAGTTTTGAGTGAAGGGCAAAGAACCTAGTACAGATCTAGAGAGAGATCCGATTTACAGATTTTCAATTTAAATAAAGCGACGGAGAAAATGCATTTCTGTACGGTAAAGAGCAAGTTCTTTCTCATAGGGTTTCATTATGTTGACAACCATGAATACTCTTTCTTAAGAGAAAAATGGATCAGAATTTCAGGAAGATTGAAACGTTGATGCAAAGCAGTATAGATGAATGGTTATTTGCGAAGAACTATTTACATTTAACAATTAATACAAGTGATCCTGTGCTCCAATTTTGTCTATGATTTATCCATAAATCATACATCCATAAATAAAAAACAAAGACTGCAATCCCCAATCCTCAAAACTACAGCAAATTACATATATAATAGATTTAACTATTGATGCAACAAGTTACATTGTTTCATTCGATCCCGAAAATTTCAAGAAAAACGAGGATTCAGCTACAAGAAGAAGTTTAAAAAGTTACCTGGAAGATACTTTTCACAGTTCATTCATGGGGAGAAAATTTCCTAAACAATATTTACTCATCTCTTACTTCGATTAGCGGATGAGTTTTCCCCCTTGTTGAGTATTTCGAAATCTATAGGGACAAAAGTTTCTGGCTTCAGGCTGAGCCCATAGCTCATTACTTCATCTTTCTCTTCACTGCTCGAGGCTTTGTTTTGTTCAGACTTCTGTCTTTCGAACTCTCTAAACTTGTGCAGGTACCTTAACATAACCTCAGAATAGTTGTCAAACCCTAATGAACTGAGAGCCCAACAAAGGTCATCTCCGTTCCCTGTTTTTCGATTCTCCTTGTGACACTTGTCTGATGCTTCACTGGTTACAAAACTTATAAACTCTGTCACACATTCTTGCATTCTTTCTTTGGCTTCTTTCGAAATTTTTGCATTCCGGGGGAGGATGTACTTCATAATCCGCCCTACATTGGCTATTGGAAGAAATTTATCTTGCTCCTCAACCATTTACAAATAGAAACAGGTGTTATAAATTAGATCTTATTCCTAATTTGCAAACATAGTACGTTTCTAGTAGCTTCTTTATAGTGGCGCTGATACGTGACATACACGCATTATCAAAGCCGGTTCTGTGGGCAGGCAAATGAGGCCTGTGCCTCAGGCCCAAGACCATAGGGGGCCTATTTTGGACCCAAAGTTTTTTTTATTTATTTATTTTTAAATATTACAAGAAGGAAAAGAAAAACAGTTTTTCATTAATTGTGAGATGATTGAGATATTTGTTTATTATTCTAACGTTAAGTTTTAAGTTTGCAATATTTTGTATAATATATCATTAAATTTTGCATTTACGTTGATTTTGGGGGGCCTAATTTTTGAACTTTGCCTCGAGCCCCGACAAACACAGGACTGACCTTGCACATTATAAGTATGGTAACGTGTGTACTAATTATGTGTGTGTGTGTGTGTGTATAAAAGTATGGTCACGTGTGTACTAATTGTGTGTGTGTGTGTGTATTTTGTAATTCTTATTAGAAATTCTCATGTAGATGATATTGAGCTAGATGAGGATGCAAAAGAACTATCATGGATGGGAGGCATAACTTGGTGGTTTAGGCATTGTTGGAATATATGTCTTGTCAATGGCCCTATTATAAGGAAAAGGGCCCTTGTACACGCCTGTGTACAGTTGGCCTCCTGTGATAGGTCGGGCTGACAGACTACAGGGGCCCAAACATGAAGTAGGGCCCCTAATATAAAGTGACTTGTTATTAATTGGACCAAAAATTATCTTCTTTAAATATTATCAGGAAAAAGTCATGAATATAGAGAATTCTTGAAAAAATTCCTATCGATGCAAACGTGGCAGCAAATTATTGGATTCTTTTCTTTATTTTCTCTTTCCATCTTCCAATTAGTTTCCCCCATGTGTTGTTTGTCAAAATTTTCTGAGCTCTGTAATAGTATTACTTGCTCCCTTCCCCTCCCTCCTCCCTCCACGCAGCCCCCAAGAGGTAAAGAAGAAAACAATCTGATTGATGAATCCACCATATTTCAAATTATTAGCCGGTCGTTTGGAATGAAATAACCTTTGATAACCGAAAACCCTAAAAAGGTTTAGCCTAAATGGTGGATGTGGTCCCCCC